AGCTTGTTACTGTCACGCACTATGAAACTTTGGGCGATCTGACGTCATCACAGCCGAAGCACATGCCTGTCTGCAAAACACCCCACGAAAATGGACCAATTGGCGGGCAGGCAGAGTTTTTGGGGGCGCGACCTGTTCTGTTTACAACTAGACTGCCGACCAGCAAGTGGCATTCCCAGCGAAGAATGTGTACTTGGAAAAACATGATCAGACCTAAAGAAATGTACGCAAAAACAATATAAAAGTCGCAACAGTTTTATTGGTAATAATTAAATTTGCTGAGCAGTACAGCAAAACAACAGGTACTGTACGTATTATTAAATAGGCCTAATGTGTCGAATTTGCGTAGGCTAGGCAGTCAAAAGAATCCAGGGCTTTGATAAATTAATTAAATAGCTAAGCCTTGACTACAACAATCTTGTTCGAAATGGGTTCAATACAAGTTTTACAAACTGAACTGGACAAAAAACTGAACATTGGAGCCGGTCCAGAGGGGTGTCTGTATTGTGAGAGTAGACTGCAACTTACGACATACAATCATGTGAGCCAAGTTCCACAGCACGCTGTCTGAGATGTTATTTTTGACATGGCTAACTTGTTGCCGTACAACAAGGTTTGAACTTCGTATTTTCTTACAGCTGTGTATTTTTCCCACGTGCGCTACTAAATTTGGAACTTCGACTTGTGTGGTTAAAATTACTTTAAAATCGGCCTATCCTGACCGAAAAATTCCGTCGATATAGCTGAAATTCGACTTATAAAAATTCGAATTAAACAAACAATTTACACAGTAATACATAGGAAAGAATTGGGACTTTTTCAAAAATTCGACTGACACAAATTTTCGACTTAAACAGAGTCGACTTTGGCGGACTTTTCATGTAAAAAAGTCTGTAATGTATTTTTTACTTACCATGATTTGGGAAGAAACCGACAAACTTCAATTCCAATCGGTCTCCAAACAACCTATTGAGAAACAAACAAAAAATATAAAAATAATTGTTTTCCTAAAACTATACCAGTCTGCAAGTAACTAATGGAAAATTAGGAGAATAATAACTATTATTGTAAATATTCTCCTGATGGTAAATGAAGCAAATCAACAATGGACTATTCCACTAAGCCCCGCCCACTGGATATTGCTGCTAAGTTCCTCAGAATGACAGTGTTAAAACATACGCAAACACATGCATGGTGGACAACACATATGCTTAGTAGACACACATGTATTCCTGCACCTGATCTGATTGGTCAGTTATCAATTTTGATTGACACTTCAAAAAGGTTCATTCAAAGGTCATGATATTCTCAACAAAACATTCAAATTCTTTTCAGAGCAACCTATATGATGATCAAGGGCAGATCCAGATGTCCAAAAACTGGGGGTGGGTTGGGGGAAAGTGGGCAAGACAACAATACCTGCAAAATTGATGTTTTCTAGATGCCCCAAAATAACCTCAGAGGTGTTTTGGGCCATCAACTTTTTTATTTTTCTTTCAAGAGAGGGGGCTTAAATCCACCCCTGGATAAAGCCCTATCCGGAATACTATCAAATTTTATTTGACAAAAACATGTGACATGGCTAAATATGGCTATGATGACATCATATCATGATCATATATAGGCACATCATGACTATATATATGAACACAACATTTTTTAATAAATTGTAAGCTGTTTGTTTTTTCTCTACAGCAACCTTGGTTATACATTTTTTTAAAATGAAAAATAGGATTAAATATATCACCTGTCTTGCTCTTTTGTCTTTGATTGTGTTTCTTCTACTCTTTGAAGAATTTCATCAACACTCTGTATTTTCCTGGAAAATATACACCACACCATATGATAAAGAATACAGCACTTATATTGGTCTTGCAAAGGTACAGTGCAAGGAATGATTGTTGTTGGAAACCAACTGAGAAATCACTACAGCATACAGTACAAATATTAAAAACGGTATATCGAACTACAACAAAACATTCAGGTAAAAGATTAAAAATAGTACATTGAAGTTGGTGTTTTAAAAATGTGTAGTTATTGTAAACATTCTATAGAAATATTCAGTTAATAGGTATATTGAGTTGAACTAAAAATTAATTGTATTGCACTTCAGATGTGTAAAAACATTACTTATGGAAAAAAGAAGTGTAAAATAAATTACTATGAAAAACATTATTTGGTATGAAAAAACTTTATGTTGAAATACATAAAATTAATAAAAAGTTATATAATAGCAATTGAGTCACAGTATTTTGCCAGGATTAGTTTTTCCTAACTATTGCATTGTACAGGTGAACTGCATTAGATACGAATGAAAATTTATATCTATTATGTTTAGTCATACATTTGCCTAACTATACAGTCTCTTAACTTTCTTCATAAATATAATCATCAAAAAAATCATACAAAATGATTTCATTCAAATAAATTTTAAGTGCCAGACAGGGCAAATCGGTGTGGTGAGAAACCTGTTTAAAGATTTTCAAAAATTCTAACACTGTACAACAATTTCAAAAACAACCAAACACATAGTTAGCCCTTTAGAGCTTGTTATACAATATATTATATTTAATTTAACTTTTAATATTTAATAGCTTTAGTAACATTTTTCAATTCCAAATAATTTTGCTTACCTCCTTTTATTGTCTCTAGAATTTCTCTTCTTGAGGTAGGTGAGAGATCTGTGTAAAAATACAGGCTGAAAAACACATTCTTTATTACAAAATGTTATGTGGTCTTAGTCCTATGTATTTTTGGATGATGAAATAGGCCTATGTCGAAATAACAATAAAACATTATTGCAGTTTCTACAGTATATAATACTTACAGCAATCAAATTACGAGTCCTCAGAAACCTATAGATTTGAGTTGGTTCTAAAAAAAAAAAAAAGGCAGATTAGGAATTACTATAGTATACTGTAGTAGCAGCATCCATGAGGCCTAGTAGTAGGAGGGTCTTATAAGTTTTAGCATTGCCTGGTCCCTTGAAATTTCTGTCGCTTATAATATTTAGTGACACAGCCAGCCTCTATCAATTAATTTTATATACTGATTATTCCTTTTATACGGTTTGACCTAGAAGTCATGCCGTCCTGCGTAGATCTGAGGTACTAACTTGGTGATTTGTTTGTAAACTGTATTTTATTGATTAGGCCTAGGCCTACTGTAGAGAAGTTAGTACACACTAAATGTCAACTCAAGTTATTTATCTTTCATGGGTTATCTCCAGACTGTAATACTAAGGCAAGACGACTTTTAAACCATGTTTAGCGAAACCCCCTGCCCACAAATTATGGCACATAGAACAAAATTATTATATTAAAATATTGATGTGGGAATAAATTTTTTTTTTTCTTTCTGCATTATTTATTTTAACAGCATAAAAAAAGCAATGCAATTTTGTGCCTGGAAATACATTTTCATACATACAAAAAAACTGCCCGACCTCATCTCATCACATTTTTTTTTTTAAAGAGATATAGTCTAATAACTTTTTCCCTAATGATGATTTTGAATAACCCATCACCACGAAAAAATGGAAATTTCAGAAAAAAATGAAAGTTTTACTTTACTTTTATCATGCCTAGGCTGCCTTGAAATCTCCAAAGATAAGCTATGTATATTTCTTCATTATATAAATTTAAAGTATTTAACCATCATATTACTACACTGTTGACATTTACCAATAAAATTTTATTTTTATTTTCTCACCTGGATGTTTTTGGCTAAATAAGAAAACAAAGCTTTATTTTTATTTTTACCCTCCTCCAATGATCTTTAAAAAAATAAGTTCGCGAAACAAGGAATAAAAAAAGTCTACCTTTAATATCGATCCAGATCGCCGCAAAACATAATGACTGTATGCAGGAGTCACTGAATCAATCACTCCAAACAGAATTATAGACGATCCAGCCCATTTTCAGGACGATTTGGCCCAGTTTGAAAGTGGGCTCAATCGTCCTGAAAATGGGCTTGATCCTCCTCTTTGCCCAATTGTTAGACTGTAGGCAAAATCATTTCAGCCCATCATGACTTGTTTGTATTTGTTGATGTTTGATATCAAAATAAATAAATAAATATAGGCCTAGGCCTATGATCATTTCAATAATACAATTCTTGTAATTTTAATAAATATCCTGTATTTATTTTAAAAAAATTAGAACGCAATAATTAATGAATAAGAATGAAAGTTGGCCTAGGCCTAGTCCACATTGTCATTAGCCTAGGTAGGCCTAGGTGAGGTGGACCCAATCGCCTTGGCGTGGGCCCGATCGTCCACACTACAGTAGTTTGACTCGATCAGCCCAACCGATCGTCTCGTGGGCCCGATCGTCTATCACCCTCTAATCGGATACTGATCACACGCGCCGGATTGACTCGGCACGTTGTCCCACCACATACATATAGGCCTAGGCTAGCCTAGGGCCTATGGGGGCCTGGCGCTAGTCAAGAGCTGTAAACAGAGACAAATTAGTTGAATCCTTACTTTTAAATGCTTGGAGAAATAGTTCATGATCAGCTTGTACTTCCTCATTCTTAAGTTTCTTAGGACTACAACGAACCGAAGAATGTTTGTGAGGAGCCATAACCGTAAAAAAAACGCGGTTTTGTGAGAGTTATAAAAAAAAACAACAGCCTCAATCTCGGCTCTGGTCGCCCCCGAAGAGAAAATGTCGCCACCAACATTGAGGCGGGAAAACTTCTCTAGTACTCGGGCGCGCTTGATTGGCTGGTCGGTTTAAAAGTCATGATCAATAAACTTATAAGCCTATCAGCTAACGGCATTAATCCAACATGTTTTCAGATTATTTTTTTATTTTTATTTTTTTTTTTTATTCACAGCCAAGTTTCGTCAAATCTTTAATCGAGTCGGATGTCTACCTGGCCAATTTCTGATAACTAAAAGCCTATCCTATCATAATCAAATTTATTTCGAATCGAAAATCGAACATAAAATAAACACCAAAACATTCGAACCATAAAAGCTAAATACTAACGCAATGAAATTAGAGTTGGATGGTCTAAAAGGTTACTGTCCCGTTTAGAGATTACGGACTACACGATCAATGGTGTAAGGTTGCGTTCAAATGGGGTTATCAGCCTACACATATTGAGGCTCTAAATAAGGTGGCGTCCAGACCCGCGTTTGATCTATACATTCATATTTTAACAGTCCTGTACGCGGGGGGGGGGGGGGGTGCGACGGGTGCATACGCACCCTCCACCCCCAAATTAACAAGGCCCACATTTTCCAGGGTAGAAAATTCAAAACTCACTCTCGCACATTCCAGAAATCCAGCCACCAATCCTCGTTGACCAATATGCAGTTTCCAACTAGGACGGCCTCTAATTCGTCGTACTCATGCAACGACTTTTAAATATTTATAAAGCCTTTTGAGCAATTTGAGTGTTTCCCCCTCCGCTACGTTTTGTCAGTGATTCAACCAGCCATTTGGCCTTTTTGACGGCCAGATTCCTCAAATCTGGCCGTATAAAAATTTGCCTGTCCGTAACGTTTGAAAAGTCACGGCCAAAATATATTTGGCCGAATTTTTAAAAAGTTTACATTTTTTTTCAACATAGGCCTAATATAACGTAGACTTGTTTTGGATATGTTGTTTTTGTACCTTTGTATTGCACTAAACGCTTAATCTATAGGCCTGTTATTGGGACCCCTTTAGCCGATTGTATGTAAGAGAGTTTATTTAAAAGATAACAGTTACATTTAATAATTTAAATTGTTCGGATGAAATATTATTATTTTATATGAAGTTAAGCTTTATGAAGACAGTCAATGCAAGTTTGTCGTGTGCTGCAGTGTTCTTTATGTAGAACTCGATGATCACTCGGGTCCGATGGCACCTCCAATTTCAAGCAAGCGTTGTGCCAGAAACTTCTTCGAAGTTACTCAGAGTTAGATTATATACCCCAGTTGGGTTCGAGGGGGCATGGCCCCAGGCGCTCCGACGATCTGAGCATCAAAGCTGTTTTAAACCGATTTCAGGGAGTGTGTCTTGACAATAACGGTGACATAAGCAAAAATATTTTTAGTTTCAATGTAATTGAGCACCCGATGTTGACGTAATCGCTGATAAATTTTTAGTAACGCGTCAGCGAAACAAATATTCACATAAATATTAAGTACTCTCTAATGACTCAATTACTGGTACTGGTACTGGTACTTGTAGCCTGAATTCGTGATAATTCGTTATCACGCATAAATTTGTGCTAAATGCGTGATAAATTATAGATCACTTTTTGCAAAATGTGTGTTTCATCCAAAATCATTTTGTTGATGAAAAGAAAAATTGATCGCCCAAACGCATCAGAGGTTATTTTCTGGCGTCTAGAAAACAAAAATTTCTCCAAGACGGTGTTACCCTTTTCGGCCCCGGCCCCTCCCACTTTCGGAAATCTGTGGATTCGCCCCTGAATTGGCCTACATGCCAGCAACTAACTAAAGAACATAGGCTATTTATAATGATGTAGCTGGGCATGTATTTTATGGTGATAATTAAAAGATGAAAAAAGTGAAAGTTTAACATTGTTCTGTGTATATCATTTGAATTTCTTAAATTTCTAACGAATGACCTCTGATTTTCGTGTAATTATGTACCCACTTTTGTCTTCTAATCGGATTAAAATCTGGTCGAATTTTGGCCGATATCGAAAAAAAAGTTTGGCGGCCGAATTTGGCCGTGAGATGGCGTGTGTCTGGCCGTGAAGACTGTCGACTATCTGGCAACCCTGGATTCAACGCGTAGGCCTACAAACTCACCTTCCCTCTAGGTCTCATCTTTATTCTCGTTTGGATCATCTCGATATGGCGAACGACGGTCAGAGCAAGAAATATATAGTGCACAAAAAAAACGTCAAAGACAATACAGAAAGACTACGGCATTGGTTGTCAAGAAAAACTAAATATATCTCATTATTGTGCGATTGTCAATGAAGCTCTGATCCTACCAACGTCCCGCTACATCAGTGCGATTAAGGGTGATGATAATCAGTGGCGTAAGGAGTTTGTGGGGCCCTGGCGGTGACTTATTGGGGGGGGGGGGGGGGCGGAAGAGGGCGAAGTGAGCGTTAAGTTCGCGAGCGTAGCGAACAAACGGACAATGGGGGCCAGCAATTGAGGAAAAAAGAAAATTCTACTCAAATTTGTGTCTAAGAGTGTCATATCCTGCCATCAGACGTGTCATAATCATAACATTTCTTTCCGTTTAATACATGCATTTTCAGAAATCGATTAAATCAGACTTTAAATTATAAAAAAAAATGGCTGAGCTCCGTCCCCTCGATCCCAGCAGGGTTCTCCCTGTCTCTTATACACATCTAGATGGGTATAAGAGACAGCCACGGAGCCATTTTGTTCTACTCTCTACAAATTCGCACCCACCCAATAAAAATCCTGCATACGGGGCTTTTAAATGGATAATTTTGGAGTCATTTATGATAGCGGTTCTTGTTACTGATCAGTCTGAAGACATCAAGAGCATATCAATTCAATGTTGTTTTTAAGCTTCTCTGATCCACCTTCTTCTCAAATAGCCATAGGTGGTCCAACAGATTGAAGCAGATCTTTTCAAATCAAATCATACGTCAGCATCTACCAAAAAGTAACCTCTATTCTTGAGTGCAAAAAAATCCAAAGTTTGTACCGGTATATCATTTATTCACAAAACAACTGTCTATTCAACCAACAACAATGAAATATATAGAGATTATTTTGAAACACAAATACAAGATCAGTCAAAATGTATGATTTTCATAAATTATTATCATCATTATCGACTTTTCCGCTAAGCCTCGCCCCTTGGATACTGTTGCTAAGGTCCCACAAAACGACAGTATAAAAACATACTTAAACACGTGCGTTTGTGGGATAACAAGTGTGTTTGTTGGACACGTGCGTAAACACATGTAAACATTTGCGTTCACGTAGGCATATTATGTTAATTAAGTCCATAGTATTCAAATACTGTAGTTTTACTGTCGTAGTAGAATTACATTTGGACTGTAGTACAATTACAAACATTATTTCCTTAAAACATATTTATAAGCCAATATATTAGCTTGGGTTCACCATTCATAAATTACAACTTTTCGAGCTCATGACATACAGTATAGTATACTTTTTAAATTGTGTAAATCGCTCCTGCACTTTTTCCTTCTCTTGTGTGTTGTTATTGCAACTTCCAAGTCAGTACTGTGCACGACAATAAACGGAGAATTCAGACTGTTTTTGGTTCCGGTTCTGCATTCATCCTGGTTAATGGTTTGGGCAGGAGTTAAAGGTGGGACGGCTTCCCCACAATCATACGTACGCATCGGAACAGATTCGTCTGTTCTGTCATGTCGCCAAATAGGCCTATCTATAATGATCCTGACTTCTGTTCTTCTGTTAAAACGCTCACCGTATTGTGAATTTTACGTTCTTTACATTTTTTCCATGCCGTTTGAGCCTGTACAAGAACAAGAACAGAACAAAACAGTATGGAGAGAATATGTTACGTTAGATCAATGTGTCATGAACAATTCCAGATGATCTAAGTGTGCAAGTGTAATAGAATCATGAATTACAAATATGTATTCATAATGTTAAAGGCAGTTACCGTATAGTTGGGTCAATTTATACAAACTATAAGAATGGTATCGTATCGTACAAATCAGGGGAATATTTGATGGGGGAACCGGTCTGACCCATATTCAAAAGTAAAAAAAAAAAATGGGGAAAATTATTGATCGCTCAAACGCATCAGAAGTTGCTCCTGGACGTCTAGAAAACAAATATTTTCCCAGGGGCATGTCCAATCCCCACCCCCAGGTTGTCTCAACCCCCTCCCCTCACACACACACACACACACCGCACACACTTTCGGATATCTCTGGATTGGCCCTTGTAAATCGTAAATTGTGAATGAATTCATAGATTAATAAACCGACTAGGAGGGGCATAATATTTGATTGTTATCGTAACTAAAACGACTAGGCCCCAGAGTGTAAATTGTGAATATTTCTCGTATTAAGCATGCGTTCGTATATTATATAACGGACAGTGCTTTTTAATGGTTTCATCCGGGCTTTTAATTATCCTTTCATTCGGGTAACTAATAAGTAAAACATATTAACTGCCTCATAAATAATTTCATCTTCAACAAACCTCGGAACTGAATCTTATTTGCGTCAGCCAAACAATGGCACCTAGTGAAGAGTTGAGAAAAACGAATATGAACTCGGTGGCAATAGAACATATTGCTGAAGACGCCAAACCGAAAAGCCACGTGACTCCAACTACAGGCAAGAGCATCATTACTCGGCAGACAAGATTTCTGATGGAATAATACAAATAACGATGAACATTTCAATATTTAAACTGTTTATATAATTATACTGCAGCATTAATTTGCCGCAAGACGGTTTAGACTTAGTCTCTTCTGTAGGCCTAACTATCTATTGAGAATTTATTTTTATACTTTACAAGGAAACAAGAATTCTGAATGGAAAGAGATAAACTCTAAACTAAACTCTCATAATTGTGTCCAAATCGAAAGTACAACTTACCTCTGCTCCTCAACGTTAGTAGATTTACAACTTGTCACAACTTTTCGATACGTCACATAAGTAACTTTAGTCAACTGCATTATATTGACCTTTTAGATTAACAATAGATAATTATCAATACATTGTGTATCTATGTATCAAATTATTTTGTATTTCGTTACATCTAAATGATTCGTCATACGAATTTTACTCTCTCACATTGGTTTCATAAAAATTGATTAACATAAATATCATTCATTTATCATTTTATTTTCAGAATTTCATATCCATTTTAAACACAAATACAAGCTCTTTAGTTATATAAAGAGGTGGAGTTCCATTGTTGATATATTCTTGACGATTCATAACATCAGTTGATCCTTTGTTTCAATTTCAGATAACAAAATTTATAAAATATGTAAACAAACAACATGAAATGTTATGTCAGGTGAATAAATATTTTTCTATGTTTATCCCTTCGTTATGACTGAACGGGACTCTACTGCAATGTTGATGCATTGCCATTTAGTTGCGAGAGCACGTTTAAAGACTTCTGCTTAGCTGCTGTGGCGTATTTCTAGGGGGTGTGCGGGGGAGGGCACACACCCCTCCAAAAATTATTCGCCCACAGTCGCCCAACCCCCCCCCACCCAAAAATCGCGGTCAAGAAGTTAAAAAACAATTAAAATCATCTTATCCAGCCCCTCTCCGTATTTCACGTTCACCGCCCACCCATCCCCACTTCAAGACTTCTAGATACACCACATGCTTAGCTAAGATTGCAGTCAGCGTGCACCCTTCATTTTGACAACGTTATATCCCTCTGGCGGTGGACCTACAAGTGTTCATGAAATGTTTACCATTGTGGAGAGGCCAGCTGGAATGATGAGGGCTAGAGTAGCGAGGTTTTCAGTGTTCAACCAACATCTAAAAACGAATGTAAAACAAAATTCTAATAGTTTTATGGTGTGGGTAGTATAGTCTAACATATGTAACATGGGCGGCGGAACCGGGGGGCCGGGGGGCCGGGCCCCCCCACTTTTTGGCGAAAAATATATAATGTCTGAAGAACTTTGTATGATCGGAAATGCAAAAAAAGAAGGAGGGAAGAAGGAGAAGGATGGGAAAGAGAATGTTTATCCAGTACCCGACCGAGTTACATTTTCTCGCAATTCACATTGGTGGATCTGGGAGG